TTTAAAGGCTAGAAGGAAAACAACAGGCCCGGAAAAGAGAGTCACGCCGCTTCTCTGTCATGACTGCTGTATACTGGGCCACGAGCCACACAAACCCAGAAGCATCTGCCAAAGGTTTCAGACAGCTGTGCAAGCTCTCGTTGCCATTTGTTCAGCTGTTTTGAAGTGAGACAGATACATCTTCCCAGGGTTCCACCAAGTAGGCTTCTTTTCAAGTCAGACAATGTGATCAGAATACAAATTCTTTTCATTAGTTGTGATTCTGTTACTCTGAATAGATATTTACCTGAATGAATGCATCTGCTGCTTACTTTTTGTCATTAATGGAAGTGAGTAGAATATTTTATGCCATGTATAAAAATAGGTCATACTGAAAAATGAAAATAAATCATTTTTTCTACCTAAGAACAGGGTTGCTACTTAGAGAAATAGGTGTCTAGTCACTTGGCAAATGAAAATGTCTTGAATATAATTTATCAAAATGCTAGCTTACTGGCATGTGAGTATCACAATTTCAAGGAAAATTACTTAATGGTGAAATACCAGATGGTAGCAAAGCCAGCTTGCCTCATATACATGAACACAGTTATTATATTCTAAAATTGAATTCATTTGATTTGTTAAAAATATGAACTGTACGTTCTATCAAATGGAGAACAGAAAAATATAAAGGCTTTTACTAAGTGATCTTTGCAGCCTTCCGTATTTTTTAAACAAAGACTTCATAGATGGAAGCCAATTATATTAGTTACCTTGGGAAACAAGCTATTAATTTTCTGCTTCCAAGTTATTAGCCACTTTCCTATATACAATTCACAGGAAAATGAATGGACTTAATCCCTGTATTAAAACACAAACATAGCAAACAATCCAATGTTTCAGGATTGTTCAGCAGATCACCTCCTTGCCAATACTCTACCAGAGTGCAGACACACAAGTTACACTTTTGAAAAGAATCTGGCAATTTATATAGAAGCCTGTTCAAGGAGACTTACTCTTAATTTAAGTCATTCCTCCTCACACCAAATATAAAGGGTTACCGAGGTATACAATTGTTCCCCAGCAACTCAACCTTACTGAGTCTGTAAAATTTCCCCTTCCAAGAATCACACAAGTCCCCAGAGTTCACTTATTTAATATGTGAAATACAGCTAAGTACTGCAAATTTAAACAATTCAGTGAAGAGGATAAATTATTTAAGATGGTAACATTTAACGTCAAAAGAAGTTTTTAGATTTATTCTGGTTGTGTCTAATTCTTCAGGGCAAAATATAAATCATTTAATTCTAAAGCAGCAATTTTATATAAATGATCTTTTAGCTCTTAATTATCAAAGCATTGCACATGTAAAATAAGAACAGGAAATGAAAGAGTCACTGCCCTCACTCAAGATACTTATCTACATTTAAAGGTCTCTGTGCTCTAATAAAAGAAAACAGCAGTGAAGTATCAATAATCCCATGGGAAATTTACAATCATTTATTTCTCTGGCTTATTAAGAGCTAATCATAGCTTAAAGGTCTCTGATTAGCCATAAAATTAGAAAACTACAGTACTGACAGAAAATTAAGAAATAACAGAAAAATCCCCATACAAGACACAACCCAACAACATACTACCCATTGGAAATTACTTACACTATATACAAATTTCAAATGAAAACTTTTATTAAGTATGTCATGTCAAAAAATCATGCTTCATGAAACTCATTTTTTGTTTTATTGCAAAATACCATTCATGTCATCATTTAATTCCTTTAAAATTCACCTTGAAATAATGTAGAAGTGGAGATAGATATTTTTATATAATGTTTTATAAAATTTTGTGATTTGAAATATATGAAAATATATTTTAACATCAAACAAATCAGAAATTTGCTGTTACACAATTATCTTTCCATAATTATCAGAATAAAATAAGAGCAGTGAGTGGAATGTGAAGCTTAAGATATTATTCTCAGAATACAATAAGTGGTATTATTATTATACTTCAGTTTAGATAAATTCAAAGGGAAACATGTGGAGATATACTTTAGCATGAAATATATCTGAAGAAAACTACAGTTCACTGAAATTCCCTGTGCTGTTTTTTTTCTAACGATAAAATTTATAGAAAAGTTTATCATATTTTAAGTAAACACTTGTGGAAAAGATATTTAAAATAATAAAATGAAAATACAAGTTTGAGCAGGAAAAAGGAACAGAAAATATATTTATGAAAACTATACTCACATTAAGGGCTACAAACTATGAATAATTTATTCATAGGTGGAAAAACTCAATTTTAAATTGCTTGTTACTAATATACTCTACTAACCAACATAACCCAATGAAGAACATAAGTACTTTTAAAGGGAAAAAAGAAAAGAAAGAGTTTCATGTATTCAGATGAAGGGACAGAGGTCTAAGAATACTACATTTAAGAAAATTAAATTTAATTGCATTAAAGGACTTTCAATTCTAATATTCTTAATACGACAGATGTAACATGGACGTCTTGGGCAGCACTTTGGTATAGAAAAGAGCTGTAAACAAGCTACCAGTATTGGGCTGGTGAATGTACCTCATGCACATGGTGAAACACTTCTATTGCATTACGAATGATGACAGGTTTCTGAATATGTATTTTCAATGAAAAATCCTTATTATACATTGTTAGTGAAAATATAAAGTTACAAATAATATTCATATAAGATATGATTCAATTCTTTAAAAATATCGAAAAAGACTTATGGAAGCTAATATCAAAATGCTAAATGTGGTTTCCTCTGGGTAATGAGATGAAGAATGATTTTTCAGCTTAACACCTTTTGACACTGGGGATTTTTCCATTATAAAATTGCATTATTTTATAGTCATAAGGACTAATTTAAACATTTATGTGGGAATTTATAGATATCAATACAACAAAATTGAAAGGAAGTAGGTAAAGACAGCTTCTGGGAGAAAAGGAAATCAATAGCATGACACTGTAAGGAGGGTTTCTATGTCACAGGCTCTTCCATTTGTCCTTTTGCTGCTAAAATACAGGAGCCACCTGCATGTAAGCCCCGCAGAAGTCATGTGTGTTTTAACTTGCTTGTTTCCTGTCTCCTTTTCTTATCATATTATTGTTAATATTACATGGACAGAATAGTGCATAAGTATCAACTCATGTCACTACACTCTGCTGCAATTCTACACTCAATATGAAAGCTATGTTTTAATGTGGTATTTGCATCACTAAAATGATTGATGATTTAGTAAGTACATCTCTTGATATTGGCCATTTTAAAAATCTGCCTCAATGATTTTATACAGGAGTTTTACTAAAGAAAATAAAAGCAAAAATAAAAGCGATGTTAGCTATTTCCAATGCATTTAGTTTTAGTCCTTTTAATGAAAACTTTAATTTGTCTAGATGTGATTTTATATTTTTTTTTATGGTACGGGGAATTGAACTCGAGTCATTGTGCTTAGCAAGGCAGGAGGCAGAACCACTGAGCTAAATGCCCAGCCCTCTGATTTTTATTTAAATAATGTTTATATGGCTACCAGCTAATATAAAAGCCTACTGAATAAGACTATTTAACATAAAAACGATGTCATAAAATAATAAATTATACTTCTGAAATATTTACTATATGCCAAGCATTCTGAAAGCACTTTGTATAGGTGTAGTAAGTCAATGATTCCTCAAAGAAGACTTTGGGGTAGGCGCTATTATTAGCCCTTATTTTACCCATGGGAAAAGGACGTCTCAGAGCTACAAAGTCCCTTCCTCAAGTCACTTGGCTAAAAAGGGACATATACTATAAACCTGGCTCTAGAAAAATTATGTTTTACAGATTTAAAAAAATCTAAGCTTTTCATTTTAGATAATTTCAGATTTATGGAAGTTGTAGGAAAGGAAAGAAAAGAAAGTATGGAGCTCATGTATATCTCTTTGTTTTCCCTCTTATTAAAGTCTATTGTGTAATAGGAAGAAGAAAAGATCTAAAAGAGTAGAGGAAATGGGAGGGGTAGGGGAAAGGGAAAAAGGGAAAAGGAAAAACATGGAAACAATGTCTTTGTAAACAGGGAAGGGTACAGGGGGTTCAAGGAGGGCTGGGGAATGGGGAAAACTAAGAACCAAGATTAAGTCATGTAAATGTACAAGATCCCGATGATGGACGTAGCTGTACTGTATACCTAAAATGTACCAATACACTTAGATCTAAGCCCCCCTATTCATATGTTGATAATTAACTAAACATCCTACCTTACTTGACTCACTAGATTTTTCCCAGTGTTCTTCTTTTGTACTAAGATTCCGAGTACAGCCTTCCCTGGGTTGTAACAGTTTTTGAACTTCCCCTGTTTTGGATGGCATTGACACTTTGGAGGAAGACTAGACAGGTATCTGAGAGACTGTCCGAAATTTGGTTTTGTGTGACGTACTTGCATGATGTATTAGGCTGGGGTTAGCATGTTGGGAGGTAGACCACTGAGGCAAAGTTGCCATTCTCAAAAAAGTCACCTCACACCTCAGTCCAGACCACGATTACGGCTCATCACCGATGCTGCTGCTCTCAAGGACCTGCGGCAGGAACAGTGTGCCACTGTCCTGTCTCTCTTCTCCCCTGCACTAGCACTGTACGTATCACATGCTACGGAAGACAGTTACCAAGCACAGCCTACAGTCAACGAGTAGAAGGGTGGCAGGGAGTTAAGCCCTGCCTACTTCACAGTGAGAAGCTATCTGTTAAGTTATTTGGAACTGTTCTGGGCACTCATTTTTAAGCCATCACTCTCTAGATACCTCAGTCTTTCTGATAATTTTGGCATATTATTCATGTGCAATAGTTTAAAAACACAACTCTCAATCGATTTCTTGCTTTTCAAAGGTCTAAAAATGTCAGAACGAAATGTGATAACAAATAAAATCATTTCAAAATGTTTTCCACTGATCACTGTAGGATTTGTCACTAATTGACTTGCTAGAAACCAGTTTCTCCCAGAAGTAAGCAATGAAGAACTTACCAGAAATATTCGTTCAAGTTGATCCTGAATATCTTTCATTCCTGGAAAAGCAGCAACACCTTGGATCATCTCGACAAAGATGCACCCGACTCCCCTGAAGAGAGAAGAATCATTACAGAAGCTTCAAGATACTCTGCTTAGGAAACTAAATCTGAGATTACACCATCCCCACAACAGAGAAGGGGCAATGAATAAGTAAACTCTTAAATGAGCGAGGAGACCCGCGGGACACACTTCGACAACAGCTCTAGAGCCTTCTGAGTCTCTCGCCCTGAAAGAAGAATGACCAGATGCAGCCACACTGGCGAAACAAAAGGGGAGCGGGCAGCCAGTAAGACAGTAGCTTTGGTGGCTTCTCCTTAGAGGACGATTTGAGAAAGTCCTTGGTCCCACACACAGGCGGCTCCACAGTATGTTGTCGCACCTTATTCCAACTGTACTACACAAATGCATGATGCATTGTAGTCTACAGCTGTCCTGTGGTTCTCAACTTAATTTTCACCAGTATCATCCGAGTAACTTCAAAATCACAAATGCTCCAACCACAAACCGCAGAGATTCTCCATGTGCTTTGGTATGAGCTGCTGATCAGCTAGCTACTCTGAGGACTGTCGAGCCAGGCTGATCTAGTGCCACGTTAATCCGCAGAACATGGCTTAAATTGCTTCCCTACCTAACACCCCCTTCACCTATTTTCTCTTCCTATCTAAATCTGACTCAAACTCTATAATCCCATTTTAAGGTCCTCCCTTCCATGAAGGTTTCTATGAGCCTCCCAAGAAGAAAGGAGCTCTGGTTATATATCTCTGGTGAAGCCTTTCAAGTATCGGCCTCCTGTCCTTCCATAATCTGCTGTGCTCACACTTCCTGCCAAGCAAGACAGTCCACAGTATCAGAGGACCTGATTCTCAGACCACAACACCCCGCACCTCACCCAACACGAATAATTATCCACAGTATGGGCAGAAATGCAATTAGATACTTCTGCTTGGATTCTGAAGAGTAAGTCATTTGGAGAAGGGTGATAAGAAATTAGCATACGTAGAAGGGATAAGTCATGCTGAGACCCTGCATGAACAGCCATACGTCCCTACAGGCAGTCTTTGAGCTGGCCTGGTTTCTGCCTTCTGAAATCCTGGAAGTTCAGAAAACCTAATGGGTTTTTTCTCCTTTTCCTGAGATCTTGCTGCACTCTCCTAGAATTCTCCAATTTGTTTTAATGGTTGTACTTTGAAAAGGTTTATGTTTCCTGCAACTATCCTAATAAAACCATCAATATATAGGGACATTTGTTCACCTGTAGCACTCATATTCAATGTAGGGCAGGCAAGCCCTTGTTTTTAATGTACATCAGAACCCTACACGGTAAATGACAAGTAGCCTACTTCTGTACACCTGCTCCAGCTGTTATCAAAGTTATATATAAACAATATTTTGAATTAAACCAATATATTTACAGAATACCACATAATTTCTATTTTGACACAAATGTCAAAATGACTAAAATTAAACAATTTCTGCTTTATATCATAAAAATAAGGAACAAAGAATTAGCATTAAACTGTTCTAGACAGATGGAGTTTAACACATGGTTTCATTTTAGATTTGACAAACAACAGGTATGGAGAGAATTATTTTATTGGTATAATAAAATACAATGATAAACTTATAAATGTTGGCATTTTACCCTTTTTTTTTTGGTACTGGGGATCGAACTCAGGTCCTCTTGCTTGCGAGGCAGCTGGTGAAACCACTGAGCTAAATCCCTGGCCGTATTGGCATTTTAGATGACTGGATTAAGTCTATTTAAATGCTAGTGTGATGGTTTTCAAAATTTTTTCTGCCAGGAATTCTTTTCTAAGACTACTGATCTACATTTCTATTGTTTTCTTATTTGTTCCAGGAAATATATCTTGGATCTTTCATACCCACAGCTTCACTGCTTTTTTTCAGTTCAGAATCCACTCTCTTTTCTGCCTTTAGACGTCCACCTTTCGCACTCCCAGCTGGGACTCTGAGTGGGAGGACCTCCAAAGAACCACGGCCACTGCTGTGCACACAGCCAAGCTGGCCAGGAGGTAACTAGTACACGGTCAGAGCCGTGCACAGCTTCCTTTACTCGGAACTTGTTCTTAGTTAACATCATCTCCAAATACGATACTTAGACTGATTAAAATATAAATCTAGGGCTGGGGATTTGGCTGAGTGGTTCTGCTGCCTGCCTCACAAGTGCAAGGCCCCGAGTTTGATCCCTGGTGCCAAAAAAAAAAAAAAAAAGACAAATCTATGCTGCCAATTTATGCAGCTGAAAGGAAACAGTATGGTTCTTCATAGGCTTTTCTCTGCTTGGCTGGCTGAGGGAGCCGGACTTGTATTTCTACAGGGTGTTTCCTATGATATCATCTTGTGGATATTTTTTATAATGTATTTTAATTTTCATTAGTACACATTTGCAGTACCCAATGATAACATTCACAGGGTACACACGTATAACATACCTTAATTCTTTTTACATCTGCATTCCCTCCCTCCCTCTCTCCTCTTGATATCGTCTTTCTCAGAGATGCTTGGGGTATACTGATAAAGCTGGGGTAACTATACACAAAGAACATGCAATAATTAAAATGCACAAGAAAATGAAAAAGTAGAATTATGAAACATATCACCAAATTAATATAGCAGAGTTCTTTTATTGCTGTCTTACTGTCAACTAGCAAGGAGAGCCCTTTAAGTTAATTTGAAGGGACCACTGCCTGCTTCCTGTGTGCTGCTTTCTTTCTTCAAAGAGCTCTGTGCTCCCTCTCTCTAGACAGATTAAGTCAACTACACTGAGTGCTTCACTGAGAACGAATTCGGCCACGTAAACACTATACTTATGATATGCTACTGTATCAGGATACAATCATAGTATTGTACAGGAAATGTCTAATTTGAAGAATTTAAATCACTACGTAATTATCACAAGCTTAGTTTAAGTTTTTTAAGAATAAGAACTGGTCACAGGTAAAGATGTCACAGAATGCAAGATGGTCAAGTTCTCAGAAGTGGTCAACCGCTAATGTAATACATAAACACCCACTTGTCACCAAGCATCTTTTCATCTTTTGGACTCAAAATATCCAAATTCAATTTATGTCACAGATGTACAAACAATTTTTATTATAACTCAAAATGAAATTTTTAGCAGTAAACAACAGACAGGTGTTCCTTCAGACCTGGATGTTATATAATTTTGGAATTTTTATTATAAAAAAGAATGCAAGGTTGGACAAAAATTGGGTATAAAAGTGCATTTGGCATAAGAAAATCAAAAGGAATCACAGGTTTCTAAAAGCTAACAAATATAGTGCTCTAAAATTCAGATTTTATTAGTAACTGTCTGGCATCCCTAATACTTTCCCTTCTGCTATTGCAGTTGGATAGTCTTTGCTATGCTTGGAACCTAGAAGGCCTCTCAAAGACTCATGCTGAAGACTGGTCTCACTGCAGCGATGTTCAACAGCTGGGCCTCTGGAACGTGACTGGGTCACAGGGCTCCACCCTGACAAATAGATTGGTCCACTGATGGATTTGTAATTTGATGGCTTAAGATGTGTGACTGTGTGCACCAACTCACTGTGATGACTAAAATCATTACGTTTTGCAAACACGGATTAATACAAAGTAAAAGTTCAAACAAGCATTCGATGGCATCACGGGGCAGTGGTGGGACTGAGGAGGTGGGGCCTGGCTGAAGAAGTGGTCCTGGGGGCTTGAGCTTGGGTAGCGGATATCTTGTACCCAGGCCCTGTCCCCTCAGGATCCTCTCTCTGCTTCCTGGCTCCCATGAGGTGAGCAGTTTTCTTCTGCCGTTCTATTCCATTATGATGTTTCTGCTTCACCACAGACCTAAAAGCAATGGAGCCAGTGGATTATGGACTGAAACCCCCAAAACCATGAGGCAAAATAAACCATTCCTGTTTAAGGTCAAATTTTTTCAGGTATTTTGTAACAGGATGAAATACTACCATAGTTTTCAGTGAGTTCGCAGCAATATTACAGTATCTTTACTTTTTTGGTGTTGGGGACCAAGCCTAGGGGCTCACACATACTGAGCATTTGCTCTTCCACTGAGCCACATTCTCAGCCTGGGAGGACTCTTTTCGACAGAGAGAACATAAAGATAATTCAGACTTTCCTCTGGCATGACAGTGACGCTAATTTTTGTCATGTTCCTAATAATTTAGGATGTTTTACGCATTGCTTCTCATTATAGGCGAGGTCATACAATCTTTATAGTTATCAGTGTGAGGAAAATATCAAGCTACCTTCACATAGGTATACATGCTATAAACACATCATTCTGAAATAGTCTGTTCTGCAGTTCCACAATAAGATGCCAGAGGACCAGGAGACGATACAGCTGGCTCAGTGTGGAGAGCTCTGAAGGATTTGCTCCCTTGAAGGGGAGAAGGACTACAAAAGGTGGAAAAGGACTGTGCATGATGGAGCCACGGGTGGCCATGGGGCCTTCCAGACACATCCGAATGAGACAACAGAATTCAGTTACAAAGAAATCTTGAGAACCGAAGGTTGTTACAGCTCTGTGTGAAAGCAGAAAGTAAAGGTTAAAAGGAGTGGAAGGACATACTCCAGGGTAAGAAGTTCGTGTTATTCCCTCAGGCCAGAGGTTTCAATTTTTTCCTGCATCCCAATTCTCATGGAGGATGAAACTCACCAGATGGATATAACTCGAGGTTCACACAATTTATGGTGAACAGGAAATGAAATAACTTTCAGGAAAAAAAACAAAACAATTACAACCACTACTGAAAAAGCCACTTGTTCTTTCCCAGTCACAGCAGAACAGCAGAAATAAAGGAGAATAAGGATTGCACAAGTTCTTCTTCCCCTGGCAGGAGGGTAGCACATGATGATTCAGAGGCCCACTGGCCTACAGGCTGAGTCCTACCTGGACCTGCTGCCTATCTGCCTATGAGGTAAGCATGGCTTGTGCATTTTCTAAAAATTTATTTCTTTTTAACTGTCAAAAAATATATATACACATTTATTGTGTAAAGCATGTTTTAATGTATGTGTAGTATGATGATAAAA